TCATGTTTTGGGCTTGTACAGAAAACGCCTGATCCGGTTCTTACGTTTGTTTTGGAGCCATCTGTGTACCATATCATTGTATTTGATGCTCTCCTGTGTTCTTCCTCCCTTTGTAGTCCATTGGGACTTTATAGGAAGTTGTGAAGATTGTTTCCGGGATCATATAATCAGTCCCCATTTCTAATAATGGGTGTCTGATTTTATTGATTATGGTAATATGCCCGAATTGTCTAGTTCCTTTCCAATTTAATTGTTTCTGGAGTCTAAGTGAGCTTTTCCTAGCCTCTCCTTGTATGAATATTTCCAATGGAGGTAGGTTTAGCAAAGTTTCTAATGCATTTGTAGGGGGTTCGCACCTGTGATACATAGGTTTGCTTGTCTTTGTATGCTGCCTAATGTTTGGGTAGCTACTTTTTGTTGAGCTCTGTTCCACCAGATTAGTGATCCATAGGTTATTCTGGGTCTTATTACTGCCGTGTATAGCAAATTCGGTTTTAATCCGCCGAGGAGGACTTTCTGCATGTTGGTCGCTCTTCGGTGCTCCTGATTATCGGTAGGTCAGGTTTGGGGCTCAACTCCGCGGTAACGGAGGTCGTCATCAATAATGTGGGTCCTGTTCAGATAAGCAAGGATTTCACCGTGTTCTGTAAGTGCGATCATTGTTCGACATCTGTGTGTTACCCTTAACTGCACTCTTGAAGCCACTGTGAGGAAGAACTTTTTGGTTGCTGTAAGGAGCCGTTCAGCTTTGGTCATGTTTGTAATGGAAACGAGCTTGAATTTCGCAAAAAACTAAGCAAATCTTTACTAAACGGCAAGAATTTAGTGCGTGATCACAGATCCAAATTGACCTGACCTTGCTTCTTCAGACTACCACTCTTTTCTCCAAAAGTCAAGAGGAACACGAGTCGGCGCAGACCAGAAATAACACCTTGCTTCTTCTGTCTACCAGCTCCGTTCAATTAATTGAGACAGAACCTCAAGCTTATACACTTTTATATAATATTTAGACATTTCCGTCAAAATCTAGCAGACAGAATATAATAGGTTTATCGACAAGGAGAATTTTACAAAACACCTAAGTTCAAATAAAGCCCCCACAACGTTAGATTAATCAAGTCGAGTTGGTAGGGTGGGGTAATTAATTTATCATTAATATTAAATATGTTCTTAGGAAGGCTCAACTGACTGATGGTGAATAACATATAAGTTCATTAACATATTGAACTATTTTAGTCAACACGTATCAATTTCTATCCTTTTTTATTTTCTTAAACACTTCGCTCTCGCTCTCTCAATATTATTTTCTGACTTACAGTTTCTATCTGTGGCCAACCTCTCCGATTATATCTTTACGTAATTTTTTCTTTGTACTATTCTATCTCTCTTTTGGTTTTCGGGCCCATTTTCTCTCTCTCTCTCTCTCTCTCTCTCTCTCTCTCTCTCTCTCTCTCTCTCTCTAATCTTATGTCTATATGTTTTCAGCTCTATATATCTAGTTTTCTCTCTCTCTCTACGTCGCCTACTCTCTCCCCTCTCTCTCATTAGCTATTATTATGATTTCAATTAATTATTTTTTATCTATCATTTATCTTTAGCCAACCCTTATCTAAGGCCTTGGTTGAGATTAAAATGTTGAACCAGCTCATGGGCACTACTGGGTCTGTCTTCACTCGCGGATTTGTTTGTTTCAGTTATTCAAACGCGTTTCGGCATTGCGCCATCTTCAGAGAAAAACGCGTATGAATAACTAAAACAAAAAAACCCGTGAGTGAAGACAGACCCACTAGTGCCCGTGTGCCGGTTCAACATGAGTTCATCAACCCGCAGACCAAATCCCACCATCTACCGAAATGAAAATGTTAGTGTCACGAGCTGGGTTCGAACCCACGACCTTCGGTTCAATATGCCCAATCGACTTCGGAGTGATAGCTTATCTAGACGAGCGGGGTATTGAGTCGAAGGTCATCGGCTGATGACACTAGCTTTTTCATCTCAACCAAAACTTTAAATAAAAAGAATAATTAACTGAAATAATTTATTTGGCCAATTATAACCGCTAAACATATATGGATTATTATTATTTATTTTCAAATAATTAATCTTTAATTGAGGTTTTTGTTGAGATAAAAAATCAGTGTCACAAGCGGGATTCGAACCCATGACGATCCACTCGGACACTAACTTCCCATCTCAACCCCACCTTTTGGATTTTCCCTCCTTTTTGCCATTTTTCAAAAAATTATTATTTATTACAATACTATCTTTATTTTATCTACATGTTTTTCTATGCTTGGACGTATCTATTTTCCAATCTATTTCTATCTATTTGAACTATTCATCTTTATTGCCACCGAATCAATAATAAAATCGATGTAAATATATTAAAAATCGATAAATCAAAAATATCGATTGGTTTTTGTTAACATATCGATGGATAACCAGGACGATATTTTTTGATTAAAATATCAAAGGAACTTTTTCTTCAATATGTACTGACAATTACAAATATCGATGCTATATTCTCTCATTATGGATACTTCAGGACTTAAAATTTCCAAATCGTTTGTAAACATCAATACTGACAATACAGATATCATTTTTCACTTATATTTTAATTAAAAAAATATAAGCTGTTTGACATATGTTTTGACGAATTAGGACACTTAAAACGTGAACAAACGAAAGGTTCACGCACTACTGATCATCGAACCGCCACATGCTTTTCACATGGTGTGACGCATCGTTGAATTAGATTATTTGCATAACAAGAGTCAGAATGAGTGGGCAGAATTTAACCTATTGTGTATGTATATTTTATTCCAAAATGTATTTAAGGGAATTAAACATTGCGCATTTCTCTGATTTTTCATAAATAACTGTTCATAAAAAATAGCGCTAACCACACTTTTTTTTAAAATTCGCGCTCGCATGTTTTCTTTATTGAAAAACATTTATCGTGAATACTAACCTAACCCGTCCCTAACACTAAACCTTATCCTAATCAGTAATAACAATGCTAACCCTAACCCCAACCCCAACCTTAAACGAACACTAATGTTAACCCTGTAGGAGAATACATTTGAATGTTGCGCCAAGGTGACGTCAGACTGTGACGTTCATAAATCCGTTGGTCACTTCTAGGGAGGTTATAATGTGTAAGTGCTTATGTATGAAGAATAAAGAGCATGTGATGAGAGCACCTGGATGAAGAGGTCGAACACGAAACTGAGGAACGAGTGAAGCTTTCGTCGGTATTTCATCGTAAGTTCACACTCACGTTCATAGATGTGGAAGAATCAAGATAATTAAATACAATGACGTTTTATTCTTGTTTATATAATTGTATAATGTTTACACTTAGTTTAATTATTTTCAAATTATTCTATTTGTTTAAAAAAAACAAAAAAAACAATTACTTTTTAGATGTATTTGTATGTAACCTACAGATGTTAAATTGTTCTTTTGTCATTACTGATTAATCATGTTATGTTCTACTTATTTTGTTTCAATGTATGTAAGTAAATTCACTTATTTCGTGGTCCGCTTGACCAATTAATATATTACAATTAATTAAGGTTTTTTTAGTTGAGATTAAAAAAGAGATGGAAAATGGCAAAAAGGAGGGAAAATTCAAAAGGTGCGGTTGAGATGGGAAGTTGGGGTCCGAGTGGTTCGAGGTCACGATAGCTCAAGTGGTAGAGCATCGGCGTATCAAGCCGAAGATCGTGGGTTCGAATCCCGCTCTTGCCATTGACTTTTTTATCTCAACTAAAAAAACCTTAATTAATTGTAGTATGTAAGTAATTCTATACAAATAATTCTTTCTGGTTGTGACTTGAGAAGTGACCACAGGAACAATTTGGAATGATATTGTAATGATGCTCCTTGCGCAAATTAATGAGAATTTATAACCTTATGGGATTACATTATAGTCCTAGGCTTTGATATTTTTATGCTTTTTAATTATGTGATTCCGCTTGAAAGCATTTATGTGAATTTATGTCAAAAAGAAAGCTAAAAGGTGATTTAGGATTTACGTATTATGCTGCTTGTTATATATTTATGTTATGTACTTATAACTGCTGTGTATTTATAATGTACTAACACCTTGAGGTCTTTATGACGGGTTTTACTTAGGTGAGGTCGAGGGCGACCTCGAGGGTCAGAATTGGCCGAATTGTAGGAGAATAAATTTGAATGTTGCGCCAAGGTGACGTCAGACTGTGACGTTCTTAAATTCGTTGGTCACTTCTAGGGAGGTTATAATGTGTAAATGCTTACGTATGAAGTATAAAGAGCGTGTGTTGAAAAACGAAATAGTCTTTACGGTTTTTTATCCGATCCAATCCTGAAAAAGGGCCGACAACCCTAACCTTACCCCCCTTAACCCTAATCATAACCCTGACCGATATTTTGATATATCGATTTTTAATAGATAGGTATGCTACGTAGGTAGATATTATATCTGCCCTTGTTTTCCCAAATATTCACATATTTGCTTTTCATTAGTTATATTTTTTTATTGCGTTGATGAATGATCGAAATACTCAGAAATTCCAGTGGCTACCGCCAACATGATAACGCTATGTTTAAACAAATTATAGTTAATATGTGAATTTATAAATTTAATAAACTATTTAGAATATATAATTAATATTTGTCTAATAAGTCGATACGATATTAAGCACCAGGATAAGCTTTAAGCGCTTAGTTTATCTTGCGAAGAGGAAAAGTGATTTCAAGGATTTTAACGCCCTATCGCCGGTGAAAGTCTTTTGTTCTACAATCCAAAGTAAAACACCCACGTTTAATTGAGCTTTTCTTCCAATCTGATGACGGTTTAATGGAAAAAACCTTTACTTTCTACTCAATTACACAACAAATAAAACACTATATAGTATTTTTCTAAGCATTTTGCAGATAGTTTCAGTTTTAGTGCATAAAGACAAAAAAATAGAAAAAACATTCTGAAACCTGTTTGTAGGGCTAGCCTAATGTCAATTATAGTACCTATCTAAGTTGATCAGTTCTTAGATGTGTTCGTAGAAAACTACTGGCTTCACCTGTAACAGAAAAATTAATTTGTTACCTATTTTTCAATACAATAATTACAAAAAATACAACAAAAATGTAATAAAGACATAGGAACGCGTTAGCTAAAGAAACTCCTACGAATGAAGATCAAGACCCTCCTAGATCTGAATCGTGTCACATTTTCGATTAAGAACACATGGATACTTAATTTGGAGGTTTACTTCTTTGGCTCCATATAGAGAACGAGTAGAAAATCTGCATGGTATGAGAATTGCGCTTGAGACTATGGATTTAGCTTTTTTGAGGAAGCATGGCTGTTTTGTAGTATCTAATAATTGGCAGATGTCTCATTTTGTGATTTCTTTTGTATATATTGATAGTAAATATATTTATTAGCGTGAATATTCAGTGTGAGCGAGCGTATGTTGTATACCCTGGTATATAGAATGTGTAAAACGAGTAGTTGCTACTTGATAGAATGGTAAGTAAAAAAGAAACAATGTGGACAGTGTGAGTGTGTCTAGGTATAAAAACTGAACCAGTTGGGACAGATGACCTAGCTGTTGACAGCCCATGGTGTCTTACTAAGGTTGATTATCGCAGCTTACTCACAATTAATTACATTATCCAATATTTCTCTCTCTCTCTCTCTCTCTCTTTCTTCTTACTATATTCCCATTCTTTCACATTTTCTTCTTCTTATCATTCTCGTTTTCATTATGTGAATCACTCTTTTTAATTATTTCTCTCCTTTTCTCTCTCTCTCTCTCTCTCTCTCTCTCTCTCTCTCTCTCTCACTCTCTCTCTCTCTATTTATAGATTATAATTATTATATATATAATCTCTTTTTCCCTTCTCTCTCCCTCTCTCTCTCTCTTTCTTCTTACTATATTCCCATTCTTTCACATTTTCTTCTTCTTATCATTCTCGTTTTCATTACGTGAATCACTCTTTTTTATTATTTCTCTCTCTCTCTCTCTCTCTCTCTCTCTCTCTCGCTCTCGCTATATATATATATATATATATATGTGTGTCACGTTTCGATTTGAATGTACCGCCATGCCCCTCCATCATACACATCTGACAGTGAAAGGAGTAGGGGTTGGAAAAGGCTATTTTTTGAAAACAATTCCCTTTCTGTCCTCCATGGGTTAAGAGCTGTCTATTTGTAATAATCAAAAATTTGGTGTGCACACAATTCAAGTGAGTAAATGTTATATTTTGACGTCAAAAAACTAAAAATAATAATTGTATTTTAATTTAAAAAAAGGGTTGTAACAAAAAATATATTTTTATAAAGAAAACTAAACGAGATAGTATTTGATTTTAAATGTTATGTTAAAATATTAATTGTATTTTCTAATTGGTGGTCAAAAATTAATAATAATAACAATAATAATAATAATTTCCTTTACTTTTACTTTTCTTTATAAAACGAGAATGAAATTCGATTTTAAAATTAATGTTTGTAGATTCTGAAATAGGTTTTATTATAGAATAAAAGATTCTTTAAATTAAAAATAATAATTAATAAAAGAAATTGTAATCTTATTTGAAAATAAATTATAATAAAAGATATTTATTTAGGTGTGACCTAGGTTTCCGAAAAACATTTTCTTTATCGTGCCAACGTTTCGATCTTTATTGAGATCATCTTCAGGATATGGGATTTACAAACATTGTTTAGATATAACAATTACATTTTGGATGTGCAAAAGTGAATTTATACAATGCAAAATATTTTTTTTTTTTTTTATTCAATCAAATATTTTTTCAAACTCAAAGTGTTTGTCTTCTGTGTAATTGTGCCATTCTTGCGTGTCGTGACGAGAGTGCCAGTGAAATTTTGCTATTTTCGATTTATATACGTTGGATTTTGAAGGGGTGGGGAAGGATGTCGGTATAGAAAAGACATATCTGGATAAGAGAGTAAAGCAACATATCTATGATTGCAAAAAACCTAAGCAAAATCCTACAGCACTCGCTACCCACCATCTTGAACACCAACACAATTTCGACTTCAAAAATCCAAAAGTATTACACACAGAACAAAACAAACATAAACGTAATTTCTTAGAAATGGTTTATATCAACAGAGATAAACACAGCATCAATTACAGAACAGATACATGTAAACTCAGTCGCAGCTACGCCAATATCATTAATCAAATTCAATATAGATAACATACATATATCATTACATTACATTCCACACATCAAATACTTTTCACATAGTCTAATTTTCCAACAATTTAGCTTTCCTTTTCCTATTTATCCCTTTCTATATAATCCTGAAAGGATAATCTGGCCGAACCATTACCAACACATTTTTTCCCTTCGTCGGCTCTTTTCACCTCAAAGAAGCCGACGCCTTATACAAAAATGTCTTTTCTATACCGACTTCCTTCCCCACCCCTTCAAAATCCAACGTATATAAACATAAAACAGCAAAATCTCACTGGCACTCTCAACACGACACGCAAGAATGGCACAATTACACAGAAGACAAACACTTTGAGTGAGTAGAAATACTTTGATTGAATATAAAAAATATTTTTTGCATTGTATAAATTCATTTTTCCACATCCTAAATGTATTTGTTAAATGTAAACAATGTTTGTAAATCCCAGGCCCTGAAGATGATCTCAATAAAGATCGAAACGTTGGCACGATAAAGAAAATGTTTTTCTGAAACCTACATCACACCAGACCGCATCTCACGATTTCTGAATAATTATCGATTAACGGTCACTAATCACCACACATTAAAACAAATTTTATCTCTCCGTCTTTTTTTTTTTTTAATTTATATTTTTCATTTTCTTTACATTTTTTTATTACGTTTTTAGATAATTAATCAATTATTAAACGTTAAATACTTTGATTAATATATAAAAAGATATACAAATTAAGTTATAATACAAGTGAGCGGAACGTTTTGTTATTGTTGTCAGTGTATATAAAGAGAGAGAGAGAGAGAGAGAGAGAGAGAGAGAGAGAGAGAGAGAGAGAGAGAGAGAGAGACTACTCTATTAATCTATTTTCACATTTTCGTACACAATAAAATTTTGCTATTGCTTTGTTCCACTACTGAAACTAGCCTTGTGAACGTCAATTTTTTTGTTATCTTAAACCTTTTTGTTTAAATTTTTTCTTGGGTACAAAACTTTTCATAAATCCTTCAACCTATCATATCGTTCGTTAAAAACCTATTTAACGTATGTGCCGTTGTTTTAGTAGATTTTTAGTTTTTTATACAGTTGGAAATAACGATCGACCAGATAACCGTGACCACCTGATGAAGACAGGGGTTGTAAAGAGGGTTTTCCGGTCGATGCGGGGGTGGGTACAGCCGTTTCCAGGAGGGGCCGGGCGGGGGCTCCCGGTTTCGATTCCGGCCCAGGTCCCCTCATCAAGTATTGATTCCTCTCAACAAGACACCGTTTGAAAAAGGACGGATTATTCGGGCCGGAATCAGATTTGGATAAGCGTAAAAAAAAAAGTCGGCGTAAAGATTAAACAAGTTGCCAAGGCAAATGTCATAAGACTTGAGACAGGAATTTATTCTTAGAGATTTCAGTTTGGATTTGAGATGTGATGGTTCGCGATCCACCTGATCTGATGTTGAAGTGCCTACAATAAAAAATAAATAAGTTCAGTAAGTAGGAAGAACAAGTTGAACAACGGAGCTACAACGCGTCTCTCAGGCAAAACCAGGGAGAATATGCGGATCAGGATGATCGGAAACAATTTTTAACGATTGAATTTGTCATGTCTACGTTTATAAACAAAGGTTCAAACTTTGGATAATTTCTTCTCGTCTAGTCAAGGACTTTTTACCTTTTAATTATATTGGGTTGTCCGGAAAATAATGCAGGATTTTGGTATTAAACAAAAAAAAAGAAACTAGTTACTTTAAAGCAATGTTCTTTAATCAAAATAATTTCCCATACTCTCAATACATTTCTCCCAACGTGTTGGTANTGTTGACATTCATACAAATGAGTAATCCTGTAAACGTAAACAGAATATTTTATATAGATTTTTTTTAATGAAAACTTAAAATCCTGCATTATTTTCCGGACAACCCAATAAATATCTGTATTAAGTATAACATATTTAATAAAAATGTACAGTCTAGCAGGTTCAAAAGGCTCCTTTTATTATTATTTACATATTCAGCCGAGCTTGTTTTTCCTCACAAAACGACTAAGGGGAATGTTTGTGTCATGTATCCGTTGAAGACATGAGAAACCTTCACCTCCTGGAGTTCTAATTTCCTTTATAATACAAACTTTTTTTAATAAGCAAATATGAGCGTGTACGGTTAAAAAATACAATAAAATATGCTTTGCTTTATTTTAAAAAGAAATACCAGAATTTTTACGGTTTCGTAGAATTAGACTGCAAGCTCTAACTAAGCTGGTGGAAAATATAAATCGTTTCTCCTATATGGACCTATGTACAGTGTTTTCTTTAGCGTAGGTCCCTCTTTTTTTCAACTTAATACGATCAAAGGATTTATTATGAAATTTATCCTGAAAGCTGTCCCTATTTGCTAGAAATATACCCAACGGAACACTTTCAAGTTTTACAAACTTTAAAGAAATAAAAATGTTAAAAGATCGATATGGTATCAAAAATACCAATATTTTAAACCATCGTTATCTACCTAGTGATTAAAAACATGAAGGTTCTCAAGGTGAACATTCAGATTATCAAACTTACTGGAAGGATCGATATATTATCAAATAAGCATCGATGTTTGCTAGAGAAATATCGGTATATATATACATATATATGTATATATGTATACATATATAGTGTGTATATATGTGTATATGTATACATATATATACATATAGACATATATATGTATACATATATATACATATATATATATATA